CCTCCCCTCAAACCAAATTTTTCCATGATGTGACGGTCGTATCATCTGGATCCTGCAGGTTAATGGCATTTGGAGAGAGAAAGAAAAGAAAAGAAAAGAAAAAAAAAAAAAAAATCAAGGAATGGGGAAATCATGTGAGCACTTGTAGCATCTGTTTGAAATAAGATTCACTAGAAACTGCAGTAGACAGTACATGTATCGTTATGCAAAGGGTCAGTTGTCAGTGGACCAAATAAAATCATTAGAGAAATCACTAAACCTCTTTCATGTGCTCAGAATCTTAATCCAAGTCACCAGGAAAATGTGTTCACTTATAGACATTATAATTATTATAGTGTTACTGACATTACTAACAGCAATATAAGATACCAGAAAATATTTTTAAGAACTCAAAGAAAAAGGTAAACAGGTGAGACAGGGTAATCCTCATAATTGGCTCATTGGTGACTTAGTACTTGAGGAGCCATCTATGTGTAAATTAACAAGTTAAACTCACAGTTGGTATGACATATAGGTAGCGTCAGAAAAAAAAACAAAAAAAACTATTGTTACCTTTACTTGTGTTCAATGACAAACTGAATGTTTCTCTCTGTTCACACCTGATTATGGTGCTAACTACCTTGCCTTGCTATTCCACACAACTTCATCAATTATTCATATTAGTTTGTGCAAACGATACTTATTTTTCTGATTGTACATGGTCAATGATTAATCCTAACCCAATTGCCACATATAGCAGGAATACATTCCGTGCCCAATGTAATACAAGCTTAATTATTGTATTTACACATAGATGGCTCTACAAGTGCTTAGTCACCAAGGAGTCGGTTATTAGTCCTACCAATCTCACATGTTTAACCTTTCCCCTGACTTTTGGAAAGGGTCTTTTGCATTATTTCGTTTCTTAAATGTTATCAATATTTTGATAACAATTTAATAATCCATAAGATCAATAACAGTAATAACAGTATCGATATCAACTGTATTAATAAGAAAAACACATTTTCCTGCCAATTCAAAGAATGGGGAAATCAGGATCGGTCACTAAGACTACTGATAGACTCCTTGCCAGCTGAGCACTTGGGGCCATCTGCATGTAACAACGTTCACAAAAATCTACAGGGGACAGAACATAAAGCCAAGGCAGTTGGGTTAAGAATAAATATGCTACACATCAAAGGTCATATAGCATTATAGTAAAGTATTGGCAAAAAGGATAAAAATTAGTTAACCATTAGGTAAGTGGGCAGAAGAAGGGGATGAATAAGAGAAGGGAAAGGAAAGGGGGAGGCGAAAAGACCATGCAAATTAGTTGAGGTGAGGGCTGAGCTCCAAGGTAGAGGTGATCCCCTACCTTGGGCCTCAGTCTCGGTCTCCTAAACCCTTCCCCCTCACAAATCAAGAGATTGGGGAGGGGGGGGGAATGTAGGCTACATACCATCCACAATGCCATCGGGTTAATATAATTTTTTCTTTCAGCTTAAAAGCATTGAATCAAATAGAATACATAGGCCGGAATTATAGCTATATGGGTTGTCTTTTTCCTTCTCGTTTGCCCTTCCATCTTGTTGCTAAATACCTAAGATGTTGAGGATGCAAAACTTCAAACAATAAATCCTTCTTTACAGGTAACAGAGCAACAGTCAACATTACAGCAGGTTGGTGTACCAGGATTTCATGAAACAGAAAACCCAGTTGAAATTAAGATCCAGATGTATATAATGGACTTTATAGTTAAAATTGGGGGCATTAAGGTACCCTGATAGTTGTTGTCAAATAGTCTTAGTATTTTCTGCAACAGGAGTGCAGTTTGGATATTATATGTTATTTAATATTGTTAACTATATTGACAATTTAAAGTATATGGATTATTAAATGTTATTTTTACTACTAGGAATGAGTTTTATTAACCCTCCTCTACAGTAAATTATTTTTTTATGTAGTGAATGTAACCATTGATATATTCATCACATGTTGGGGTAGACTAACTTTTTCAAGTCAAAAGATCCAAAGTGTTATCCTTTCTAATTGTGTATGGAAATAAAGGTCAAATAAAAACTAGATCTAAGAAGTAGGATATTTTATGAGGGTATTAACCTATAACTTACTTATGTACAATATATTTCCATAAGGTATTGCCTTTATGGTGTAAATTCCATCATTCCACAGTTGTTACACTGTAGAGGGAGTTACAGCCAGGGAGAGACACCAGAGCCCACAGAAGAAACTATAATTACTGGTGTTCACTTAATGGCCTCAGGAAAGTTTATAGTGACTGTGAAAGTGTTAATCATTCATGTTGAAATTATGACTAGTTACTCTTTCTTAGTACAGGTATTTTTATTTATTAAAATTTTCTGGTTCTTCAACATATAGAGTCATTAGTGGTGTATACAAAATATAGCGATAGAGTGGGGCCCCAAGCTAGAGTTTTTTTGTTCAGTTAGGCAACACGTGCGGATTTCCAGAATGGTCAAAACAGACCAATGTACCAGACATCGAAGGTCACACAGCACTATGTGGCAAAAAGGGTAAATTTGGGTTAACAATTTGGATAAGTGGATAGAAGATGGTGATGAAGAGAAAGAAAAGGAAAGAAGAAGAAAAGACCCTGCAGAATTAGTTGGGGCATGGGCAGAGGTCCAAGGCAGGGGTGTTCTGCACATTGGGTCTCAGTCTCTGCCTCATAATCCCCCCCATGGCAACAATGAGCAAGGGATTGGGGGGATAGTATAGGTACATCACATCAAAGGACACCCTAAAATTCTTGTTGATCCCAACCCAAATCCCCTTGAACCTCAGCCTTGCCTCAACTAATTTTGCAGGGTCTTTTCTTTTCCTTCTCTTCTTCAATCCCTTCTTATGTCCACTTCCTAAGGTGTAAGAGCCATGCTGAAAGAATGAAAGGCTGGCTTTGCGTCAATTTTAAATGGACTCGGGGAGCCACGGGTCACGGTATTCCTTTGGTTAATTAACCATCCTTATACCCCTTGTGGGGACACTGAGGGGTACATTGCTTTGCTTCCCCAAATATATCACACTCATCATAGCCAATAATGATTTATACCCTTATTAGAGACATTAAGGCTTGCTCCTTCATCAACTATTTAAATTTGACTTCTCTGGTTTCCTGACCCCTACCTCTCTTATAATCCCACCTCCAATCACTGCTACTACTATCCCTTTCTTGATGCCTGCTGTCAACTCTATCCATTCCAAATCATCCACCCAGGTCACCTTCAGACTACACCACTTCCTCTCTCTCCACAGTCTTCTTCATTGTCTGCCCCCTACCCTTTACCATCTTACCTCTACTTCCTCTCTTCCAAAGTCAAATTCTTTTTTTAGTCTTAATCCAGATACTCCAATCTCTACCAATTCCCTGGTGCCAACCCCTCCTACTACTCATTTTGTCTGTCACACCAGAAAATCTAAACGTTCCATTCTACATTCTCCTACCACATCCTCTCCTACCCTGTCCTTTTCTCCTCGGACATCTATCTACTCTTCTCCTCCTCATAAGAAAACCTTATATTTCTCATACCTCTCCACCCAATGCCCCTCCAAAAACTCTCAAGGACATCCCAAACTTTTCAAACATGACCCAAGAAAATACTACTCCCTCTCATCCACCCTCCAAACTCTCTACTCCATTTACACTACATTCAAAGTAGTTGCTGATGTCCATCTGTCTCCTCAAGTTCTCCGCACCCCTCTCCCTCCCACTCTCCCACCTGTGCACTCATGTGACTCTCTTCTGTCACAACTGTCCTTCTCTGGATCCTCACCCTCCTGATGTTCTTCCTGATCCTCCACTTTCTTCCTGTTCCCTTGTCTCATTCCCTAGATTCCTCTCCTTCTTTGCCACCCATTTCTACCCTTATCACCCACTGATTGCTTCATAATAGCTCTTTTACAGTCTCCTTCATACAGTGTTCCTCTTCCTTCCTCACAGATATAGATACTAACCATTTGATCTAATCATCCATCACCCTTAACCCCCTTCCCTTTTCATTAATCCCTGTCTTGCTCCATTTACTCCTCCACTTTACCCTTTTCACCACCATGCTATCCTGTAGCACTCAACAATCTTTGACATCTAACACATTTTGTTCTACTCCTTTACTCATTTTACCCTTTTAGCCACAATACTTAACCCATTGCCGCCAGGGAAAATGAACAAAAAATGGGGGAAATGCAGTACTCATTTTTTATATTTTTGTGAAATATCTCTGTCCATAGATGCCTCTGCAAGTCCTGATTTCACCTTTCCTTGAATTGGCGGGAAAAAACGTATTTTTACTAGTGCTATAAATATAGATGGTGTTATTTTTAGCAGCATATTAGGATAACGTTACATATTTTCGTAAATCGATGAAAAGGGTGAACGGGCGAGACAGGCAGTACTGTAATTGGCTCATTGGATACTTAGTACAAGTGTAGCCATCTATGTGTAAAAACAATCAAACAAGTCGACTCACAGTGGGCATGGCATGTACGTACATGCCATCCCCGGCGGCAATGGGTTAACCATAGTGCTCTATGACCTTTGACGTCTAGAACATTTGCTTGTTTTAACCATTAGCCATTTATATATAAATCTAAAATAATCTTGCCGAATATGAAATTGCAGAATTATGAAAATTAACTTGTGATGATGAGTGCAGTGATGCAGTAACAGGTGTAAATTAACATTTCACAAAATTTCTAAGTGATATACATAACTTAATTAGTTGCACATTAGGGCAAAGTGATTTATGAGGCAGTTATTCATCATAAGAATGAAACATCAAAGGTTTATGAAATTTCTGAAAAAGTCGAAATTTATTACTAAAATTTATTTCACATAATGTGACCTGAGAAAATTTATATGACAATTTTCTTTTTAAATTGCATCTAAGCCACATGGCACACAAGTGATAGTAATTATAATGAATAATAATAGTAATCAATAATAATATAATGAAAGTAAAAGTAATAATAATAATGATAGTAATAATAACAATAGTAATGATAATAATAAATATTAGTGGTAATAATAATGATAATAATAATAATAATAATAATAATAATAACAACAGTAATAGTAATAATAATAACAGTAATAATAGTAATAGTAATAGTAATAGTAATAATAATAATAGTAATAATAATAGTAATAATAATAGTAATAGTAACAGTAATACTAAAAAAATAATAGTAATAGTAAAAATAATAATAGTAATAGTAATAATAATAATAGTAATAACAATAATCAAAATTAATAATACTAATAATTAATAATAACAATAATCATCATCATCATAATCACATTAATAACAGTCAGACATGAAGATGAAATCCAGGAGGATTTCAAAACTGTTTTCTCATTTCAAATAAATCTAGATTTTTTTTATAATAATAATAATAACTGTTTTCTCATTTCAAATAAATCTAGATTTTTTTTATAATAATAATAATAATAGTAATAGTAATAATAATAATAGTAATAGTAATAGTAATAGTAATAATAATAATAATTAATAATAACAATAATCAAAATTAATAATACTAATAATTAATAATAACAATAATCAAAATTAATAATACTAATAATTAATAATAACAATAATCATCATCATCATAATCACATTAATAACAGTCAGACATGAAGATGAAATCCAGGAGGATTTCAAAACTGTTTTCTCATTTCAAATAAATCTAGATTTTTTTTATAATAATAATAATAACAACAGTAATAGTAATAATAATAGTAATAACAATAATCAAAATTAATAATACTAATAATTAATAATAACAATAATCAAAATTAATAATACTAATAATTAATAATAACAATAATCATCATCATCATAATCACATTAATAACAGTCAGACATGAAGATGAAATCCAGGAGGATTTCAAAACTAAAAATAATGATTAAGATATAATTATCTTAATAAAATGACTATTATATATATTTTTTTGTAATTTCATATACTGTGAGTGCCATTTTTATAGTTATATGAATTAAAGGAATTTCCCCTTTAAATAAATTATCACCATACCTACACTTACATACTCCAGCAACATAGCACAATATTTTACAATAACATTCCACAAAAAATGCAAAAAAGTACAAATGACAATGGACTAAAAACTGAGATTTAACACATTATTTTTTAAAAAGTACAAATGACAAAGGACTAAAAGCAGAGATTTAGCACATTAACTTATTTTACATAATATCACAACTAACTTCATTTTACACAATGAATAACACCTTGCTTGAAGTATGCATAATCTAGAAACATGTTTTCATCACAAGTTCACGAAAAGAAAAAGAAAAAAAAATAAAAATAAATGAATAAATAAATAAAAAATAACATGAGTATATCCAGTTCATGGATTTCTCAATGGACACCTTGATAAACTTCACAGTTGCAAAATAAATTATGAAAAAAAAAAAAAAAAAAAAAAAAAAAAACTGTCATTATTGCAAACTGAAAGCTTAATTAGAATAACAACAATAATAACAAAGAAGTGTGTATAAACTTACATTCAATTGGTAAAATACCTATTTTTGGCAAAAAGAGATTACATATATAAAAATTACATACCACATTAACTATGAAATGAGAACATCAACTTGAATTACAAATAGCTTCTCATTGAAAAATAAAGTATGATACTTTTTGGCCACTTTTCAACCGTATTCACAAAATCACCAGCGTCTCAGGTACATACCCACTAACATCACCTTACAACTAATGCAAGTAAACCAAATTCATTTAGTGTATCAATATTTAACCTAAGAAAGATTATTTCAATTTATCTCAAATTCTACATTCAATTAATCATTTAAGGCTTCCAATAGAGTACTGCCATAACAGCAATGATTACCATTAAGCAGTACAATAAATAGCTAATTTATTAAGTACAACTGATAACCTACCCCGCTTTACAGAAACCCGTACCTCTGCTTTTCCTCACTTTCACTACCATACTACCCTCTAGTACTGTTCAACCCTAATCATTAACTCATTCCTAACCCTTTTTGCTACTATATTTTATCATAGCGTTATACGACCTTTAATGTCTAGCTCATTAATTTGTTTTAACTACTAACCATTAATCATTGATAACCTACTCATAATTAAATATAATCTCGACAATACCTCAATGGGTCTTTTCTTTTAAATTAATCTATCTTGATTGTCCGAGTAGCTGCACAAATTTCTGTAATATGCCTAAATATTGGAAACAAGCACACACAAGATTTTTTTGTTTATGGTATTCCAAATATTTTTTTTGGGGAAAAAAATATAGTTACTACTTGCTTTGGCACTAAAGTGATCAACATTTTTTTTTAATCTTAAAACATTGTACTAAAAAAATGTATCTGTATAATAAACAAATACATGAAACATTTCTATATCTTTTCAGTTGTAATAAAAAATCTTCAACCAAAATGTACCTGTTTTGTAATCACATACAAAGTTTTATAGATACCTTTATACTGTACTTGTAATCTTTCATCAATAATAAATGTGCCTACATGACACCATATAACCAATTTATCACAATACTATTTTAAATACAGTATTATTCAGAAGTACCACTTCCTTCTACATGTTACATGTAAATACCACTTCTCTCCACATGTTACATATTAAATTCAGACTTACAATACATATACACAAGCATAGCCTACATGCATACTGATTCTTACACACTTATACAAAGCTTCACAATGAACTTTGCATGATATACTGGATAAGAAATGCAATGTATATCTAAATGCAAGTAAGCTAACTAATAAAAATTAAACATGTACTGACAACATCTTCAAGCATTTCTTATTTTACAAGAAACCAGTAAAGTAAAATTACTTTTTTCTGGAAAAATCAATCCACAGTAAATATAAAATCCACAGCTACAAAAATAATTATCATTACCATATATACTAAATGCACAACTGAATAAAACAACTAGAGCATAGGATATAGGAAATTATATGTTGTAATGGATTTTGCTCATCATTACCTATAGCTGCTAAAAGTCTCTGCATTGCGTATGTAATAATTCACTTAAAATGATAGAAAAACACTTTGCTTTATGATTTTCATTACATGATACAATCACAAGAATTTCCTTTTGATTTCACATAATGAAAAGCATACAACCTGTAAACTCATCAAAGTGTATTGCTTTCACCCCAATCCAAATACCTGTAAGTTCCTTATATTCTTACATACCAGCTAGAAAGAAATATCATAGTGTAAAACTGATCACTATAAATCACAATAAATATTAGCTACAAAGTGAAAAAAACAAAGCTAAAAGCCATGGATTAAACCGGTATTTGTATCTTGACTGTGGCAATTAACTGGACCCAGTAACCACATGCAGGAAAGGAAAGGCTGAAAAGGATGTGACTGGTAATGATGACATGAATGGTGTGAGTATCTCGAGAAAAAGTGGAGTGAAAAGTATGAGGATGAGTATTTTTTGACGGAAATTGGAAAATTGGAGTTGCCTCTCTTAGACCTCCAATAGCCCTCTTTCATATGCAGGAAGTGATTGAAAACCAGCAAACTCTTGGTGCTTTTTTCCATATTTGGCACAAAATCACTACCCCAATCCACTGAGTGAGATTATTGTGAGAGCTTAGACAAGTATGTTAAGTAAAATGTTCATATATATATATATATATATATATATATATATATATATATATATATATATATATATATATATATTTATACACACACACACTTCTTGTGAAGTTCCTTGAAGAGTCAAAATGTTTTTCATATTGTCTGCACAATATTATACCATATTGCTATGAGTAATAAATATTGTGAAATATCAAAGAATATAAATAGGTTTACTTTTTAATCACTATCCTCATCCATATCTAAAACGGTCATGACATCAGCACTCTCACCTCTACTTCTTCTGCTCTTGGCACTTATGTTCCCTGACCTGGCACTTGCACTGCGTTTGTGAGATCCATGACTGCTATTTATATTCTTATTTGCTGCAGATTTATCGTTACTGACATTCAGCTTCTTGGGCAGCTTGGTGACAGGAGTTCCTGGTCGCTCATTGTTTTGTAGTTTCCTCTGGATCATGAAGCTTGTTTCGCCCATGGTCTTCTTACCAGAGTCCTGTAGCTTGAAGGCATGGGTTGGGCTTAGTTCCCAGTCATGAGTCTGTGATGCCTGACTCCCCCGGCTAAGGAGGGGAGAAGAGACTTGGACTCCCTTGTCTACCATTGTAACAGCTGGACTACCAATGAGTGATGCCTGGACTCCAATACTGACCCCTCTTGCCTCCCTGCTTTCAGTCGTGAATCCCCTCCTGCTGCAGACCCTCCCCTGGGCTGAGCTCAGCAGCCCCTCCTCAAGTGCTGTGGCTGCTCTTGTATAGTTTTCCTCCTGCCTCTTCAGCTCAACACTCTTGAGGACATTGTTGAGAACAGTGTGTGTAATAGAGTCATTGTCAGCATAGGCATGGTTCTCTGCCCCCACATCATCCTCAGACTCAAGAGGAGCCTGCCCTGGCAGAGGGACCACATTCAAGTTGACAGACTTGGCTGGAGGAGCTGAGGGTACTATTCTCTCAGAACGAGTTGGGTCATCTGAGCTCAGATTCAGACGCTTCATCATGTTGGTGAACAGGGTGTCCTGGTTCATGGTGACAGCTGGCAAAATCTGTTGGTAAGGTATTCAGTAAAAGGGATAAATAAACTATTCTTCAAGAGGATATAAGGGAGTACTAGTTAATTACAGCTACAAAAATATATTCAGATGGCAAAGAAGAGATAGTTTTTTAAAAACAATCACATACCAATTGACCAAAACCACAATAAAATATACAAAAAATAGGAATAATACTTATGATAATGATGATATTGATAACTAACAACAACAATTATAGTAATAATAATATAATAATCACAGTTATAACAATGCAAACAACAACGATGAGACCATGACTACAACAAGCAGGAGC